TTGGCGACGGGGTAGAGAAAATTTTGAACCCTTTAATTGGACGAGATTCAGCATAATTATTTTGACCAATCTGTATCCAGATTTGTCATCGGCGTCCTTGGGAGTCATTGGTTGTTAATTGATTACAGTATTTCTCATTACCCTGCTGACTGAGAAAATGACTATCCCTCCCGATCAATTGCAGCTACTACTTGATCGCCAGCAGCAGCGTTTTAGAGAGTGCCAGTTGAATGTTTTGGACTATATGCGCACGCGACGGCTAAATCTCCCATGTTTCGGAGATGTGAAAGAGATTGACGGATTAATTTCTCACTTGCATACTGAACTCGAGAATGACTGCAGGACATATGAAGATGAAAACAAAAGCCTCTATGAATCCCTTATGATCAGTAATACAAACGAGGCAGCCACTCATGATCCGTCCAGCGGTCCAGAATTGTCCAATTCAGAAGCATGCCCTGTTGTGGGTTCAAATCCCACTGTGTCTGAAATATGTGAGGTATCCAGCCTACAAGAAGAATTTCTCGTGCCAGAAAATGTTTCCCGTGCATCAAATAATGGTCAGAAATCTAATACGAATTTCAAAGATGCTGTTTGTTTTAGTGACCTATTATCCAGTGATGGAATTTCGAAGAGGTCTGAAGAATATGTTGCACAAGAATCAAACCTTAATGACCTCATGTCTGGTGTCGCTAATCCTCATCATCTAGTCAGTTTTAGTGAACCCTCTACTCAATACGCGAAATATGTTTTAAATAGAATCAGACTAACTGTTACTTGGGTATATGAGGACCCGACGTTATTTCGCGGGGAGGACGAACGCAGAAAATTTTAAAATCCTTATATTAACTCCGGATCTTTCAAAAAAAAAAAGGAAGGTGTTAGGATAGTCGGAAAAATATACCAATAATTATCGTGTTAAGTCTATGGTGGCCTTGGACCTTAAATGTACATTTCTTATTGGTCGATGTTTATTTCACTTGTTAAATATTTTGTAAATGTTGTTTCCTATTTTATGGTACGATGTGGTGTGCTTGATTGGTATATAAACAAAGTATGTCTGAAATACATTGATTCATAACTCAAAGGCTGTGACTTGTGTTCTTGACTCAACTGGCTAGGACAGACTGCGAAGCGGGACCAGTCAGGGCACTAGGTCGTCCATACGTGTTTTCCGTGTTACTGTGATCGATCGATAAAACGCTGCTTACCAAAACCTGCAAGTCACACACGTTACAACAAATTCACTTGAAATTGTTTTACTTGAATCTTCCGATTGATGTTTTTGGACTGAAATTGGTCAGTCTCTTATTGGCATATGTGCATACTGTGCGTATGCCTCGATATTGCCTTAATTTACAAGCATTATAAGCAATTGATTTAAACTCTCTGATTCATATGGTATGTTACATTGTGCTAAATTCATTGAGAGAAATGAACAAACTCATTGATTTATATGTATCGGTTAATATTCTTGGACCATGGCGGAACTTGAATTCTCACTTGGTGAATAACTAGTGTACAAGATGTAAAACCGATGAACATGCGTGTAAGCATGAATGTTGTATGTTTGTAATTTTTGACTTGGGAGAGTTAGGATGGCCAACTGCATTATATATATAACATTTGCATAGTGACTAACCTACAGCTAAGAATTATAACTGTAGATCTAAACAACAAATATTTTCACTTTGCACCGAGTATTTGTTTTCTTGTAATTATCTCTCTAGTTTAAGGTTGCCTTGACAATAAGAATTAAATTCATGATGGCTAGTTGTGAATACTGATTACATAAAATTATTTTACATTTTCAATCTATAGTGAAATTTCCTTTTTCGATATTGTTTTTTAAGAACACTACTGATCAAATATGGTCTAGATGTTTTCACATGAAGGAATGAGATACTATGAAATATTTAGTAATAAAATGACTTATTGGAATGAACTGTTGAACAAGAACTGAATATGGAGATATAGATTATGTGAAGGTCTCGCCTGTAGAAAAAGGACTTCTTAAAATGACTTGAGAGGGTTGATGAATATCATAACGGATTATGTTATTTAACAGTTGAGACATTCACTTCACAGAACGCAATTCTACCGAAATATGAACAGTAAATTACTCTGCTTGTTAGAAATGTGTCAGATGAATGATTATGGTAAGCAGTGTTGAATTTAATTGATTCAGATTAATTTTTGGCTAAAGAAGATTCTATCTTGTCACAATTCCTGACCATATCATTTGACCCAAGCACAACAGAATCTAAGTCAGATAAATATTTTGATGTAACAAATAAACTTGCCACAACATACCACTCCCAATGATCTGAACACATTTTATGTACATTACTTTGACTAACTCTGCATTTAGTGTGGTTTACTATTACTCAGACAACTCAGAAAGAAAGAGGTAGTAAGCTAATAACACTTTGATGAAAAATATGCAATCAGTTATTATCAATGTAGGATTCGACATAAATGTTCCTCAGTTCAAGTTGTCATCAGTACAACGAAAGACGAAACTGAAAATAATAAAATCAGAGCAGACAAAATAATATCAGTTGTAAAATAAATCTAGAGATGAGAGAATGGAATCGAGGAATAAATAATTGAAAATCACATTTATCACAAAATATTAAGGAAAAAATGAAGAATGAATACAGTTGTGAGATCGCGACCAATTTTAATCGGATCTCAATCTGGACCCGCTCACATGATTTATATCAGTAATCAAGGCTTCCACGACTTGACCTCATATCCCTCCGACTACTTCTTTCCAATCTTCTCCTCTATCAACCAGCATTGAATGTATGGTACAAACTATTTATCATATTTTCAAAAATCCATAAAGATTTGGATGATGTTGTGCCGAAGGGGTTGGTGAGATGTCAGATATAACCCAAAACTAAATATGGATAAAATTCTGAAATAGTTATGTTTCACCTCTAACGTAAAAAAAGAAGTAAACGAATAACTGCTGATAAATCAGACGTCACTTACATCTTCCACCTTTTTTATGCTTACTATTGTATATACGTATTTCACCCGTAAATTCATGATACCGACTTACTTTAAGTGAAATATCCCCTGATATAACTAGCGCAATTCAAAGATAACCGATTGAAGATATATATTATGGTCTTTTACTGAGTCTTTTAGTAGCACTGAGAACTTGATCAGTAGAATTTAGTTCGCACTAAGAATTGTACTGCATGAAGTCGGTTATTATCTTTTGATCGGTGATTGTAATCAACTAAGTCTTACATGATATTAGTTACCTCTCAAATGGATCATTACTGATGTATGTAACGGCTACACTAAATGATATATTAAGTGTTACTCTGCAAGAAACCCTAAATTATTTGATTCCTGATGTTTGTCAACATACATTTAGTATGAAAGCAATTCATTATGATTTTTGAGCCATGTATTTGAATGGTCATGAGACAAACTTTGATCAATAGAGTTCAATCAACAACAAAGACTAGATAACATGATATTTTGTGTCTAACATTAGCATAATAACTACGAAAGTTTGCACGTCATTATTCGGGGAAATTTCAAATAACAAAATAACTTCATACAGACGAAACTTAATTTTAAAATAATCTCAAGTGCTACGGTAACATCTTAATTTGAATTGTGAAGGTTAGAGTCTATGTTTAAACTAAAGATTACTAGAGATTAAAGATACTTTAATAAAGCATTAGTTAGCAAGCCTACAGCACTTTTCTGATCATTTGAAAATATTGAAAACAAATCACTGAAGTTTTAGGAAACAGTTTTGAAACATTTACATATGAGCTTCGCATGCTAAAAATGTCTTTCTTCAGCTCGAATAAGCATTTCTTAGCAGTCCTACCGATTATTGTTTAAAATGTCAGCCAACACTAATCACTTTCACGAGGAAACTTGCTTACAACATTATCATTTCATTTTAATTGTCTGTTATTATTTCAAGAATTGACGGTTGGTTTACCACTGAGTAATTAAAAACTATTTTCAAGTTTGTTTAGTCCTTTTGGTGCTGATCGAATTCCATCGACCAAGTTGTAATGTGGCCATTAATCAAGATGACTTGACATCACACGCACTATATTAAGATGTCAGTTGGTTGGAGATAGCAGATAGAAAACTTTCAACCTGTGTTTCTGTTGTAACGTGTGGTGTCCAAAATATGATTGTCATACATGGTGTGCTATGTGCTAACCTTCCAACTGACTACTTGAGTGAGAACATAAGAGTGAGAGAGAAAGCGTATTAGACTACCGAGTAAAATGCAAAAATAAACATTCATATATATACCAGTCTATCCTTAGGAGATTGACCTCAAAGAAATGCACTTGACCCTTAGTTCACTTCTGATTGTCATGGATTGATCTTTCTCTACTGCTGACTGGCTCTTCGTTGAAGTTGCCACACAGAAGAATGGATTATCTTCAATCTTGAAGGAACCAATGCTCCCTGTGGGATAAATATTTCAATCCTACAAGAGGTCATGTTCACTCAGAATATCTCTAGCTTAATATCTCAGACTGTAAAACTGAATGAAGCCGGTTCAACTTCTGAATGGAGCATTATTCCTCTCAAGAATATAGGTACTCCTTCCTGAATTTATGAATATAGTATGTTGACATTAATACCGTACGCAGTATGATCAAGCTGTTCATACTTGCTCACAAATCGTTCACTTGAGAACCGAACTCATATGCACAAGCAAATAAAACATTAAACACAATCACTAAATTTGATTGGTTGATTACCTTTCTTAAACAAACACGTTAGAATAATAAAGATTCGTTATAATCCATTTTCAAAAAAGAATATTAATATCAAAACAACACGGTAAGAGTTTTAAATGGACTTAAATTATTCGATTGGTTATGATGTGTAAAAGAAATAATTTTTAATTCTTATATAAATAATTACCATTCACTTTAAGAAAAAACAAATGTTATGTTAAGGAAAGTTTTTTACGATAACAAAAATTATTTAAATTAATGGATAATTCATGTGAATCTAATGTTCCATCAGTAATACATCTATGCACGGGAAATGAACTAGCTTTAAACCACCTATCATCGTCTTACGAAAATTCAGGTAATTCTGTTTTCGTGTAATGTTTTTCTTTTTGTAAGAGCTGATAAACAGAGTGATTACGATAAATTCTTACATACAATTATTTAAGAGCTGGTCGAATATATTATTGTTAAAATTGTTTTTGTGATGCACTCAGTGCTATAACTTGTAGATTATTTAGTGAAGTAGTGAACAAATAAATGTGAAGCCAATGATATCAGTTCTGCTACAAATCTTGGTTTCCCATATAGTTCATTGCTGTTGTTCATAGACTTCAGGTAACTTCACTATCTTCACTTCTATTACTCATCACTTGTTATCATTGTTTAAAACTAATATCTATGTAAGTGAATCACTTGGACACTGAATTTTATAATTTTTCTTGAACAGTTTGCTTTCACTAAATAATTGTAATAAATCAAACATCTATTTGTTTCATGTCATTAAAAATTCTGTTTTAGAATTTATCAATGAATCAGATAAACAGAAATTCATTGTAGACTGTCATGTAAACGATGATACTTCAAAAATGAAGTCTGAGACATCCGATTTACCAACTAGATCAGGAAAATTAAATGTTGATAACGATGATTATAGGGAAGAGTGGAATAACCAGTGTGATTTTTTTCTATCAGTACTTGGTTATGCAGTTGACTTAGCAAATGTTTGGCGATTTCCATATGTATGCTTTACTAATGGTGGCGGTGAGTTTTTATTTCATTCATTTTTGTTGCATCATTCCGTTTAAAAATGTAATATAAAGATGCAGTGACATCTAAATCTGTTTTATTTTCGTAAAACTGGGTTATAGATGACAGAGAAATCCATGATGCAAATATTATCTATCTGAACGTACCTGCATACAAGTACTGATGTTCAGATTGAGATTCAAACTCGATATTTATAACTTATGAATGAATTCAGACGCACAGATCAGGTTCGTGGCTCCCTGTACCCACTAAGTTAGTGAATAGTGCATTGATGTTTATGCTCGTAGGTCTTTTGCTCAGTTCTCACTGGGAAAGAGATACATTCAATTAACGGATCATAAATAGGACAAACTGAGCTTCGTGGAACCACTGTCCAGCATTTTAAAAACTTATCACTAGATGATATCGCCGAGGCGATTTGTCTTGAATGAGCATATACGAATTATAGTCTTTAATACAAACAACAGGAAAATTCAAACACTTATAATTAACTAAAACTTACTGTTTGAAAATTTAATGTTATATTTAGCTCCATAACCAAGTACAGATTTGTGTAAAAAATACTTCAGTAGTTGAGATCATGAGTCATTTGAGGCTGGACCAGTATGGAAGAGGTGAACGGCCGTTTCTTCCTAGTATGGGACTCCTCATCAGTGCACACCCACGATCCTGCCTCATAAGATTCCAGTCCACCGCCTATCAGTCTCGCGTGCCAACACTTAACCTCTTTACCACTGTTTGTTATAAATAGTTGGGTGTGTGCTATTCTGTTTACAACTTGATGCTCTGTAGATGATTACTTTTGTACATGAAGGTGTCTGATTACCATTAGATATCACATGAACCACACATTCAATCATTATGATGAAATTATTATCATGAAGTGTTTGTTTACCATAGAATACGTATGTGTAAACTGATAACAAAGAAAATCTTTGAAGAAAATACCTTTAATCAAATATTTTTGTGTGACTTCGTAATTGAAATGATATACTGATAACATATGCATGGTATTCTATATATAAAGTATTAGAACTTATTTTTTAAAACCGAATATTCCAATCTTATTTTTTCGGTCACGAGATTAATAACACTAACATTGAAGAAAAATGGTAAATAAGACCTATACTGTTTACTTTCAAACGTTTTACACAGAAATATTCAGAGGAATCGTTCGCGTCTATTTTAAAACTAAATCTCATAAGAAGAGCTTAGATCCAGCGAAATAAGCATGCGCAATTTTAACCAACTGTACTAAATATTTGCCTCCCAGTTTTTTCATATTTGTGATAAAGTAATATACTCAAATGATGTTAAACTCATGATTTTCTGTTATATATATGTTGCCAATAATTTATTTACAGTTGTTTGGTAATTTATCTCAACTAATATCACATAGCTTGTTTCAGTCCAACACGTTTTGTTCATGAACCAACCTAAACAAGACAGCCGTCGACGACAAGAAGCGCTAAACAGCCGTTTAATCCCATTATAGGATTCTTTATCAGTAAGCATTCAATCGACTGCCAGTTACAGTATTCGCTTATGCATCCTCGACCAGCGCTTTATAAACATCATATTTTTGACGTGTCTGTTAAGAGTTCATGTTTCTCTGCATTAGAGTTATTGAATTAAAGATTGAATGCTATACAAACGAGGAATGAAACAGAACTCGAAACTTTGATCTAATGAGTTGAAAAATATATATGGACATCAGCTTTACTTGTTTTTCGGAAGATTTCTGGTAACCAAATAATGCTTTTTTATACTTTATGATTTCTGCAAACGAGAGCGGACAGTTTAGAACCTTTACGTGTATCATAGTTTGACTATTAAAACTAATTTGTGAACAGTAAACGTCTAACAAATAAATTAAACTGATCTGTTAAGCAAACTCGTTTTTAAGAATGAACAATTAAATATTTTGCATACTGAAACTTTGATTCAGTGAGAAGTACATCGATTCATAAATAAAAGTCTGGATCTTTCACGAAATTTTAAGGTCACATGTATTACAAGTGACTTCAATTGATTTGATCATCTTTTTTTCAGATAGACCATATTACTCGAAATAGTTATCTAGTAACACAACTATAAAGAAAAGTGTAATTATTATTAGAATGGGGATTTGTGGAGATTGTAGTGATTTTAATAGTTAAATTTACTAGTCAACTCATTTTCTCAACCATCTTAACTATTAAAAAGTGTAATTATGGTCAATGAGAATAACTATGAATCAGTAACTACTGCACGGTTATTTCGATGTCTTATTTATTTATTCTAAACATTTTAGGTGCTTTCCTAATTCCCTACTTTATTGTGATGGTTTGCAGTGCAACACCAATGTTCTACTTAGAATTGATTTTAGGCCAAAAACATCGTCGTGGAGCTATTTCTCTTTGGGATATATGTCCTATGTTTCGAGGTAAAATTTATTGTTGCTACTATACTTTTATATCTTTTGCTGTTCTCTAACAACTTTTTAAAATTAAATCACTTGGTGGAGCATAATAAAACAGGTCACTATGTTATTATTTTTTTTAATTTGTCAATGGTCAGCACTAATTCCAAAATTAGTCGACCCTATAGTACATTCTGACTACTGATTAGGCATTATTTTAAGCCAAAGAAAATTGCGATATCACGTAGTTTAATTGCTTATTCACTCTCATCATCAATCACAATAAACTATATCTTTTTTATGCGCTTATTCAATTCGAAGAGTAAACAGGTTTCCATTCCGGGTCACAAAAGAGTCGTTCATCGAGTGAAGTAACATTACTGTAAAAATTTAAAAGAAACTTGAAATTCCTTTTACTCCTTTGAGAACACCGGACCCACAAGCACTAAGCAACGTAAGCCTTAGATTCAAAATTATGCGACAGTTGACCGTGAAACCTTTCAATTTTGTAAATATTCACCAAACATTGTTTAATCTCTGATAATACACATCAGTAAACGCTGTTTTAAAGACTTGAATATGGATCTTATTCATAAAATGATGCACATTCAATGGCTGAACATGGTTAGTTATTGTGCCTAATCAGAAAGCTCTTGGCTCTGTAGAATGTGAAAAAGTGATTGTGTACGAATGAGGTATCTTCTGTTAGAACAACACAGGCTCCTAGTATCCAACGTTTTTTCAGTTAACGTCGATTTATCACAAAAATTATTTTTAAACAGCAAAAAATCTTCCCAAAACTATCCAACAAATATAGTTTGATTTGTTTCATAGATAAGAATGATTTAACTAAAGTTCACTTAATTTACTTGTTTTGATTAATATTTCACAGGTGTTGGTATTGCTCAAGTAATCATATCCTATATAGTTGCATTCTATTATAATACAATATCTGCATGGTCACTATACTTTTTATTTGTATCCATTACGGATATTCTACCATGGACCTATTGTGATCAACGAAGGGGTAATAGTATTAATTGCGTGAATTTTACGTATTTACAAAACTTATCTAATACTATTTCTAATGACGAAAATGATTTATTACAACAGAAAAATTATAGCCTTGCTTCAATTGAATATTTTGAGTAAGATTTCATATAAATGATTTTTCATTTAAAATAAAACAAAATTATTATTATTTATCACAACTAGAAAGGTATTTGTCTCTGAATGTGTTCTGTGACCGTGATATTCATTGTTGACAACGCATATTGAATTAAACAATAAGTAATTACATAATCTCAGTAGATTTTTGGTTGAATGTTTTGTATCTAACGATGTACGGGAGTGATAGAGTTTTCTGCTAATTGTATTGGATCATGATGACTCAAAAACGTAAATTGATTGGAGTTAAAATATAAGCGATTAGATGGCTAGCAAGCGTGGTTTGGAGTCTCAGCACTTGCCCCAAGACATGAACATTTTGAGTTCCATCTCTGATAAAGTCGTGGATATCCGCAACTGAGAATTCTCATATTATAACAGTATAGCTGTTCAGTGATTTTTTGGTTTTCATTGGTTGTTTAGACAATGCTAATCCGTCATATAAATTGTAATACTAGCTTTCATTTATACAATCACAAAAACTGTTGTTCTGTTGGTTGAAAACTGATCAGCTGAAATTTACAAACTCGTTCTCAAAGCACGTCAACAGTTAAGTCAACTGATCTATAGCAGTAATTTGAAAAATTAAATAGAGTATTACGACAGATTAAAAGCGAGTCATCAAAAAATAGCTATAATCAGTATTTTTTACATATGTACACATTTGCATCTAAAACAAAAGAATTACTACCGAACTTATTTTCAATAAGAATCTAAAAGATATATCTTTTGTTATATCATAATGGGTAGGAAGTTGAATTTCTGACGTTCCATGAATTAATGTAAGACTCTTCTTCAGAGTAAGTAAATAACTAAGTTAAGTAAACACAGGTATAAACAATATAAAGAAAACAATGCAGAATATGTTAAGTACAATCAAAATCATAGTGAACAAAGATAGATGGTGGCTGGCAGTGTAATTCAGAACGCACGTTTCGTCCTATTTAGGACCCATCAGCTGGATGTACCTACACCCGAAAAATGAATTCACTCCGGGACTCCAACCTAGATCATTTGCTTCACTAACTTGTGCAATGGAGTGAAATTTAAATTCATTTCGTATTGTTTATTTTAATCTTTCCATTGATATTACGGACTGCGGTTGATCAGTCTGTTAGTGAAATATGTGCATCCTGTACGGATTACCTCGATATTGCTTTAATTCACAAGAATTATAAGCAAAGATGGATAGTGACTAGCAATGGGATCCAGCTGACAGGTCTCAAATAGAATGAATCGCGCGTTCTGGATTACACTGTTAGCCACCACCCGTCTTTGCATATAATGCTTGTGAATTAAAGCAATACCGAGGTAATACGCACAATATGCGAATGTGCCAATAAGAGACTGATCAATTGCAGTCCTAAACATCAATGGGAAGATTCAAGCAAACAATACCAAGTGAATTTCAACTTCACTCCATTAGACAAGCAAGTGGCTATCAGAACTCAGTAGTTAAGTAGATAAGCGATGGATTTTGAGGCAAACGTTTGTGGGTTCGAGTCCCGGAGTGAACATCAACTCTGGGATGCAGGTATATTCAGCTGACGACTCCCAAATAGGATGAAACACGCACCCTGGATTCCATATCCAGCCACCATCCATCTTTGCTTATAAAGAATATTTTAAAATTTCGATTTTCATTTGTAAACATATCACACTGATCAAACTATACGCTAACATATTGAATGGGAAAATGTCTGAAAGTATTAGATATGACATTTTGGGGGGCACTGAGAAAAGAATGGTTATCCTTACGCTAAGTAACACTGAGTTTACTTACGAGTAATAATTAAAAGATTATTGACTGTGAAATACTATACTTGTTTAGAAAACACCAACTGCTGAATGAAATTATTTTCCATCTGACAGTGTAAATTTTGAAATAAGGCAAGATTTTTAGATGCATAACGTTCTAGACATTATCTAATTAATTAAATATTGTGCAAGTTCGAAGGATATTTTCTTAAACGAACGGCCAAAAAAGTATTTTTAACTTATACGCAACTTATGTTTACTGAAATTTAATTGAATCTCCTTAATAAGAATTACATACATTCAAATTATTTGTTATTGCTGTGATAAAATACCATTTAAAACAAAGGAGACTACAATTCGCACGACACAAGAAGGAAGACAGGAACAAGTGACAGATGAAGATTCTAATAATTCTTTAATAACAAGACAAGACAACAGCTAATTAACCAAATACACTTATCTTTATACACATTTTACCGAATACATGATTGAAAACCGTGGAAATACAAAGTGGTGGTTAGAGGTATTCGACAGGAATTCATGGATTTGGATTTCGAACTGCTTGGCACTCGTCAACGGGATATACCTGTAATCGTTAGAGGACTGATGTTTCCTTTAGGATTTAATCTTGTGTCACTCATCTTCATGGTCAAAGACGTTATTACTGGGTTATTTGGACCTTGAATTACCTCCTATGGGACTAACATATTTTTACAGCTAATTAATCACTAAGTAGTGACCAATGTCGTATATTTCAAGCCTTTTTAAGTGCTCGTCAAACTTTCCTGATCCAGTTGCAATATGAAGCTGGAAAACACAGGACCAGATCGTACGGGAAACATCAGTCCTGTCGATATTTTACGCTGAGCCAATGCAAAACGAATGTTACGTGTTTTACAGAATAAATATCACAGTGAACATGACCACCAGTTGTATATTCCACCCTGCTAATATCCAATTTTGAAAATAAATCGAGTCCAATTTTTCTTTACCCTTTTATGTGATATTTTAGACGTGTTGTTTTGAAATTACAGCAAAGTACTGGTTTAGGAGATCTTGGACCAATTAGATGGCAATTAGTAGGATGTACTATATTCATATTTAGTATACTATTTGCATCAATGAGGAATGGAGTGAAAACATCGGGCAAGGTAAATGTTATCAATTTATTTTCAAAAATATTATGTCGTTCAGCTTTGGTATGTTTCTGTCTTTCCTGTACATACTTCGAATTTTGAGATGGGGAGAGAAGTGCGAAGACTAATATGTGTGCAAAAATATAAAATCAAAAAGAACAATAGAAAAAGTGAGCCGACCACACTCAGATTGCACTTACATTTAATACTGAAATCGATCGATAGTAATTAGCGTTAGGTTAAGACAGAATGATAATCGAAACCAGGAGTTAACAATGCGAGTTTTCAGATGCAGTACATTATGATAACAGTACCACTATGATACTCTCTAATGAATTAAAATTCAAATATTGTAACAAGGCTAGTCTACTTCTAGGAATAATACTGACCACTATGATAATATAACAAGTGAATGAAATCAGTTGTCTACAGAAAATTCTTTATTTGCATAACCTACATAATATTGAACCAGTGTTCAATGATTTAAATATTCAACATCCGACAAGTTGTAATATTGTACTTTAATTATTCAATGCTAATATCAGAGAAACCTGTCTTATATCTGATACATAACTGAGTTCACTCAGTCGTAAATTGTCACTAACAACTATGAGAAATCATCTCAAACTTAGTCACTAGTGACCTAATGGTTATTTTTTATTGTACAGATTAATTCAATTTACAATACCTTTCGTCATAATCATATCATTTTTATCGTGTTAAAGAAGATTGTTTCATTTAATTTTTACGATGTTATTCTATTTTTTTACATTAATGATTTTTACACGATTATATATTTTGGTTTCGTTACGAAAAATAATTATAAATAAATTTCAGGTTGTGTATGTGACTGCATTACTTCCATATTTATTGTTGGGTATACTTTTAATTAATGGATTGACGCTGAATGGTTCCTATAATGGAATTCGGTACTTTATAAACCACGCTTTGATAAATTATCAGAAATGACGGTAACTCTTGAACATTACATTGTTTATTTTGCTCTCTTACATAATTTTAGATATTTTTTCCTTTCTAAAATGTTACATACGTTTTATGTTTGGTTGTTTGAAAACAAATATGTTTTAATGATGCACAATTATAAATTCTTCCGTTTGCAGCTTGCCAGTTGAATGATTATTTTAATAAAAAATAATCAGTGTTTCTATGAATGATTGGGTGATTATGTGAAACGTTTGTGTATTTTAAAATTAGTTTTCACAATAAACTGAATAAATGTAAGCAGAGATGGATGGTGGCTAGATGTGGAATCCAATATGTGCGTTTCCTTTTATTTAGGATTCGTCAGCTGGATCGAGGCAATCCAAACAGGATGCACATATGCCGAGAGACTGATCATTTGTAGTCCTAAATATGACTGGGAAGATCCAAATACCCAATAGGAAATAAACTGAAGAAATGGTCTTGAATCAATAATCTTAACTAGTTCGGTTTGTTCACAACACCAGAAGATTCTAGGTCCTCATTCACGTCTCCTTGTTGAATTATTAGTGAGCATTGTTGAGAAATAACTTACTAGGTTAGAACAGTTGTTTCAGACTCCCTGACATTTTGCTTTTTCACAGTTTACATAACTCTTTGGTAAAGATAAAAATGACCTCCAACCATCTTCCAGTACCACTGATAGGTAATTGCATTACGCCGCTCCTTGGTTGAATCCCAGTGGTTACAGATTCACACTAGAATTCTGGAAATGACCACTGAAAATTAGTCACATGTGTGCGGATCCGTGAAAAATTTCTAATTTTACGGTCTAAATCATGGACTAACCTTATTCAGAGAACCAGAAAATATCAACAGCCACTGAATAATTAAATAACGATCCAGTTTGACTAGTAATATGTTATGGAGTAAATTTCAAAGGGTTTTATTAAAGACGTGTTTTTATGACTGTGGTGTCAACAAAGTCGATGAAAAAGTTAATAACTTATAAAACTGATTGTTAATACTGTTACATTTTACCAAGATTGCATTTGTACTCGTCGTATTAGAACGGATATATACTTTTTAAATTAATTACTACATTGCCTTTCATCAAGCATTGGCCACCGAATATGAGTCTTCAACCAACTCACTCGTGGGTCCTTCTTTCCAAATGTTTTCAATATCTATTAATTCTTTTGGTATCTCCATCCTATTTGCCGAGTGTTCGGCCGACGAACCTGAAGTATCTTCAGCAGACAGCTTTTTATAAATACCTGTACCCTTTTGACGATAGTTGTAGTAGTTATCTAAGTTCAGCTCTGTACAAATAGAACAGTCTTAACGTTTGCATTGAACGGATTCGATTACTTTCATTTATATAAGCTATATCTTGATAAAAAAAGTACACATACTGAAGTTAATAATAAATACTCATGTGAACATGTTTTTCACGATATATAAAAATAATCTCATGCAATTAGTTCCCTTTATGTATTTAAATAGTCAGAGAAAATATTGATGCAGAATAATATGAATTCATTATATTTCGTGGTTTCTTATCAGCTGCTTACATCCAAATATTAGAATTAGTGATGGGGTGGTTTAAGAATTCAGTAATGGAAGATAAATATAAAACAAACTAAACATTAACAAAATAAAACTAATGACCAAAAAAGGATTACCAGGATAGTAATAAATTTATTACCATCTCTTTTTGAATACATAGATGCAGTTTGTTTTTTTATCGCGATCGCTTCAGCAAGACGAAGAAAAGCAGTATTGTTAGCAGAAAAAGAAGTACTGCTTCTCTTCGTTTTGCTGAAGCGATCGTGATAAAAAAACTCAAACCGCATCTATGTATTCAAAAAGAGATACTAATAAACCTATTACTATCCTGGTAATTCTTTTTTGGTCATTAGTTTTATTTTGTTAGTGTTTAGTTTGTTTTATATTTCTCTTCCATTACCGAATTCCTAAACCACCCCATCACTCATACATTTTCATTCATTTGATTTTCTTAAATTATGTGAAATCTTCAAATTCTATTCAATTATTAAGTAACCCATTTTATCAGTTTTTAATTCCATGGATCTTATGTAAATCCTTCATTACACACAATTTGTTTTATCTGTTTTTGAACCCCACTCAACTATTACGTCACCCATCCTTGATATTTCCTTAATTTTGACACCAAATAACCTCTGACCTGTTCTTGCCCATATATATAGTTATTATTGATAACCTTGGTCATTCCAATTCTTTACAATCACTTATGTCACTTGTTTCATACTATTTCTTACCTCAACGTAAAATTGTAATACATACTTGGTTGCAAGCAGTTGATGAGAAACCACGAAATACAATGAATTTATATTATTCTGCATCATTATTTGTCCTGGCTTTATATAAAAATAATCATCAACTCTTCAAATTTACATAAAATGATGATTGTAGAAATAGAGAATTGATTTGATATTTACAAGCATTAGATGTTTATAGATATTTTAAAACGAGACGTATGCATGTATATTGAGTAAATTAACATTCATCAGTTGAAAGTCTCAGGAAACGTGAAGGTATTTATTTTAATTAGTGGTGTGGGTATGTATTTTTTCAGGGAATGTAGTCGTACACTTGAAGCACTGAAACATAGGACAGATTAATATCAAGTGATGAATGGTTACATTTTGAGAAGTTCTATGAAGAAACTTGGTAATGTCTCAGTATTATAAGTAAGTCACAATTGATTGGTCACTGGGTGGTGATCAATGTCATGCTTGTCTAGTCCTTATTAGTGCGGATCGAATGCTATCGATCATGTTGTAATGTGGCCACTAGTCTAGGTGACTCGACACTGCGGGGACTATATATTGAGATTTAGATGGTGGTTGGAGGTAGTCAACAGGGTTTCCTGTTGACTACCTCCAACCACCATCTAAATCTCATTATAAGTATTCAATCTGCTCTGGACATCGTTCATCAAATTCTCAAGTCCATCTAGCCAACAATATGAAAAAGACAGATTGAAACGAAAAAAGTGACAACGATTAATTAAAAAAACGACTATGGCTACAACTTATGTTCATTATCAACGATATAATCAAACAAAAATAAAAAAGTGGAAAAAGTTGGTAAACACCACATGAAATGGGAACAAATATTAATGATAAGGATTTAAAGCATCAATTATATGGTTTAATTACGAAAATTTCATTTTAATTATTTGACTGTCACTTAGAAAAAACGAAGAAACCTTCGTAAGTAAACCATGCAAGACAGAAAACTTAAAATCATTAAAATAAGGGTCGATTATTAAGAGAAAAAAAGAAAGTAATTAATAGAATAATACAAAGTAGGAAACCAATAAACTCAATCATTATTAGTTTTTTTTTCGATTTTTACGAATAAACAATAGTAATATTTTATTCAAGGTTTGGGCGAATGCAGCTATTCAAATATTTTTTTCAACTGGAGCAGGATTCGGTGCACATATCGCTTATGCAACGTACAATCCTAGACGGTACAATTGTTACAGGTGAGTCCAAATATACAAGAAAAATACTAAAGTATATATGGATATATTTGATGTTGTGTTCTCAGGGCTGGAATTTTTCATCATTTAAAACTTCAGTTAAAAGATTATTTTATGTAAAACGTTGTCCAAAATGACGGTGAAAATGCTGTAATTAGACTTCCCCGAAAGCTGGTAGTCTATCAGTGACCAATTTCATGTAGTCCTATCCTTAGTGCTGATCGGATTCCATCAGACAAGCTGCCCGTGAAATTGATCGGAAAGTGACAATTAAAATGCTGTCTATTCATTTATCCTGTTTAAATAAATAATCATTGTTATGTCTACTACATGTTCAACATGATACGATACAACAAAAACTCATGTTTACAAACCCAATCATATTCCAACCAAGAAAAACACTAACCATAGAAACCTACTAACTACAACATAACTTGGAAAACCTAAGATATGAAGTGATAACTAAGAACCTTCCAAAAACAGAATGTTTTTTATCTGTTGTTCGACTTACTATTATTTTAAAACCTATAATTCTCCAGTATTAATAAACTGCAGATATTTCAAATACAATACATGGAAATTAACAAACACTTGATAATATTTACTTGTTTTAGTTGAATTAACGAATACTTTTTACTCTCACACAGAGATTGTTTGATCACTTCACTTGTGAATGCTTTTACAAGTTTATTTGCTGGTGTTACTGTATTCGCTTATCTTGGTTATTTGGCTCATCTTACTCATACTACAGTACAAACTGTAACAGGAGAAGGTAAGAATGATATTCAGTAAATGTTATAATCTCTTTCTTACGGTTATGATCCAGCTATTCCTATTGCTTAGTATTCTCGAACACCGATTCACTCGACAAGTCCCCAAATCAGAACACGGTTGAACAGGAAGGAGATTATATTCCAAATAACAAGGTTAGATGGAAGTCAGAAGTACGATAGAGAAAACGTCAGTATATTTATAGTTTTTACGTGAGAAGATTCTAGTGTTTTCCAACTTTCGACTAGTGCTGATTGGATAAGAATTAGCCAATCAGCGTGCAGCAAAGCAATCGTGCATTGAGCTTGCTTTAATCTAGTCTATGTCCCGCTAACAGTAAACAATGGTATTATATATTTATCACATTGGTGGTACATTTCATAGGTAAACATTTACTGCACGGCCATTTTTGTATTTTTTTTCAAGCCTACGTCTGAGGAAATAAGTGTCTCTCTCATTTATACAGCTTTATACGAACAAAATCAATTGTATCAAATGACATTTGGGTATACGCACGTTTAATGTCAATGTAATAAATAAAAGTCTACATTTATTTACCAAACTTCAAAATGATCAATTTCACTATATTGAAACATGGTGCTCTATCTTCAATTCACTCATGATATAGACATTTTATAAAACGTATAAATGTATCACTTTGTTCGTATAAAGCTGTATAAATGAGAGAGACACTTATTTCCTCAGACGTAGGCTTGTTCTTTTACACTTTATGTAACTAATATTTCAAATCCTTGTCAAAACTTGTTATTCAACAACATAGAATATTTTATGGAGATTTTTTTAAACTGCAAACATGCTGTTGACATTACGTGCAAAACTTGTTAAGCCCGATTGACGAGCAATAATCGATTCACATGACTACTTACATAGACAAGTACCTTTTGTCATAATTTTAAACGGCTCAACTACAAAGAATGTACAGGTAAAAACAATTAACGCTTTTTAATGGATTAGCAAAATAACACAATTGACAATCTTGAATTTATTTGACACCATTATTCAGGTAAAACTAAACAATTCTTTTCTACTAAGAATTACTGTTTGCAAAAGAACCCAATCATAAATATTATTTGCTATTTTCTGAGAGAAGTTATTACTATTTTGCTTCATTTACCGATCGTTAACGGTTAGCGTGATTTATGCATGCCCTATTCATTATTTTATCATGATGATTTATGGATATGTTGCTACGCATATAACGTTTATTAAAATAACATATGATATGTTAAGAAAAAACTAATGGAAAGACTTCGATGAATAATTTCTTTACTAATTGTGTATTAAACATTTGACCATCTTTCAACGACAGTTATTACTATCATCAACTATTAAAACCAGTTATAAGTTTTTTCCAAAATTCTCTTTTAATGATCTAATCCACGAAATCCTTATAAATCTCCATTGATTATATTGCTTAGTCACTAATGCTTAATTCGAACTCATCAATTTTGGTTCAGTTGACCTTTCCTATAGAAATGATCTCGTTGTACTAGTGAACTGGTAGTACTACATTCGCCTATAGTAACTTTATGACAAAACACTGAAACATTCTGAATAAGTTTTGCATGTACTATTCTTAGACAGATGAGTGTTCATTATATGACACTTCCTATACGAAATCGTTTACTTAAACCGTATATTTGACAAAGCTTAAAAAGCGTTTACGAATACGTAGGCGCTAATCACATAATGACTATTAATCTTAAATGAATTTTGGTGGTTTGATCACTTGGCCTTTGCTATGGAAATAAGGAATTGAAACAAAAGAATTTAAATCAAATTGTGGGTGGCCCTGAAAAGGGCCTTTACTCATTCTCTTAACAGTTCCAAGTTTCATGAACAAAGGCGTTGCTATTATTTCATTATAGCTCCGTACATGGGACAGTGGATTCCATGGACGTGTGTTGATGGGTCGTAGGCACAAAATAAGTGAAGCATTGCTTCGCATGGACAAAAAATCCAGGTACTTCCATCAGCAGTTTCATGTGGCGGTTGCGCAAGATTGCAAATATCATAAAGTCTGTTGTCATACGCGTCTTCGTCATTGTCGTCGTCTCGTTCAGTGAACTCCTCTGAGCTAATCGAAACAATTTCTTCCTCTTCATTGCTTAACGTTGCATCCATATTGACGTAATTTTGATAGTCGGTAACTTACAAAATATGAAGGAAGGACATTGAGTGTTCACGGTAGTCCTTTATGAAAAATTATAATAACACTAATCAAATTACCTCGTTCGTCTACTCGGCTGTGAGGAACCGCCAGATGTTCTACGGCCATTTCTCCAACATACGAATCTAACATACGACTTCCGATCTCTATGTAAATGAGAATCCCTCACCACATAATGGCTGTACGTGGCTCTTTCATACGTTCTAATGGCGCTCTTCAACGCTTCAAAAGATTGGAACACTACGAGATACAATGTGCTCAAGAATAGGTTATCGGTTTCTGTGACAACGTGGGGAAAGACGGAGCTCGTGCTTTGCATGTTACTACCATCCATAATTGTAGGAAAATGTGCTCTGTCGTCAAATCCTCATATTTTATATCGATTTTAAGAAATAAACGACCAATTATAACGAACACAAAACTAGTTATTTGATTGGACGAAACAGAATGAAACTTATTGAAAGATGGGGATGAAAAATTTTTTCAAAAGGGTTGAAAAAAATTTCACTCGAAAAAAAAACAAAAATGGCCGTGCAGTAAATCTCTACCCATTTTTTCATAAATCCAATTTTGAGATAAAACCAATGAATTATAACTGGCAATAGATAAATGAAAATTCTAATAAAGTTAGTGAGAAATCAAAGAAATAAATTAGTATGGAACATTTCGGCAGTGCGCATCCACGATCCCGCACCACGCGGGGCTCGAACCCAGGACCTACTGGCTTCGCGCGCGAGCACTTAACCATTAGACCACTGAGCCGGCATCCAACGGTGTTAATGTCTAACTTCAACCAATCCACGAAGTTGCGCCACCATATACCATTGTATTCAGTGAGCTGATATCTCACAACAGACCTGGTTGTACTCCACTGGTAACGGCTTCCCACTAGAACTCCAGGAGTATCTCTTGAAGTCAGTCACTAGTGAGCAGATGATTATTATCAGAAGGGGTTTGTGGAGATTTTTAGAAATTTTCACAGATTGAAATCATGAGTCAGTTGAAGCTAGACCACCATTGAAAACCTGGAAGCACTGGACGGCCGTTTCGTCCTAGTATGGGACTCCTCAGCAGTGCGCATCCACGATCCCGCACCACGCGGGGCTCGAACCCAGGACCTACTGGCTTCGCGCGCGAGCACTTAACCATTAGACCACTGAGCCGGCATCCAACGGTGTTAATGTCTAACTTCAACCAATCCACGAAGTTGCGCCACCATATACCATTGTATTCAGTGAGCTGATATCTCACAACAGACCTGGTTGTACTCCACTGGTAACGGCTTCCCACTAGAACTCCAGGAGTATCTCTTGAAGTCAGTCACTAGTGAGCAGATGATTATTATCAGAAGGGGTTTGTGGAGATTTTTAGAAATTTTCACAGATTGAAATCATGAGTCAGTTGAAGCTAGACCACCATTGAAAACCTGGAAGCACTGGACGGCCGTTTCGTCCTAGTATGGGACTCCTCAGCAGTGCGCATCCACGATCCCGCACCACGCGGGGCTCGAACCCAGGACCTACTGGCTTCGCGCGCGAGCACTTAACCATTAGACCACTGAGCCGGCATCCAACGGTGTTAATGTCTAACTTCAACCAATCCACGAAGTTGCGCCACCATATACCATTGTATTCAGTGAGCTGATATCTCACAACAGACCTGGTTGTACTCCACTGGTAACGGCTTCCCACTAGAACTCCAGGAGTATCTCTTGAAGTCAGTCACTAGTGAGCAGATGATTATTATCAGAAGGGGTTTGTGGAGATTTTTAGAAATTTTCACAGATTGAAATCATGAGTCAGTTGAAGCTAGACCACCATTGAAAACCTGGAAGCACTGGACGGCCGTTTCGTCCTAGTATGGGACTCCTCAGCAGTGCGCATCCACGATCCCGCACCACGCGGGGCTCGAACCCAGGACCTACTGGCTTCGCGCGCGAGCACTTAACCATTAGACCACTGAGCCGGCATCCAACGGTGTTAATGTCTAACTTCAACCAATCCACGAAGTTGCGCCACCATATACCATTGTATTCAGTGAGCTGATATCTCACAACAGACCTGGTTGTACTCCACTGGTAACGGCTTCCCACTAGAACTCCAGGAGTATCTCTTGAAGTCAGTCACTAGTGAGCAGATGATTATTATCAGAAGGGGTTTGTGGAGATTTTTAGAAATTTTCACAGATTGAAATCATGAGTCAGTTGAAGCTAGACCACCATTGAAAACCTGGAAGCACTGGACGGCCGTTTCGTCCTAGTATGGGACTCCTCAGCAGTGCGCATCCACGATCCCGCACCACGCGGGGCTCGAACCCAGGACCTACTGGCTTCGCGCGCGAGCACTTAACCATTAGACCACTGAGCCGGCATCCAACGGTGTTAATGTCTAACTTCAACCAATCCACGAAGTTGCGCCACCATATACCATTGTATTCAGTGAGCTGATATCTCACAACAGACCTGGTTGTACTCCACTGGTAACGGCTTCCCACTAGAACTCCAGGAGTATCTCTTGAAGTCAGTCACTAGTGAGCAGATGATTATTATCAGAAGGGGTTTGTGGAGATTTTTAGAAATTTTCACAGATTGAAATCATGAGTCAGTTGAAGCTAGACCACCATTGAAAACCTGGAAGCACTGGACGGCCGTTTCGTCCTAGTATGGGACTCCTCAGCAGTGCGCATCCACGATCCCGCACCACGCGGGGCTCGAACCCAGGACCTACTGGCTTCGCGCGCGAGCACTTAACCATTAGACCACTGAGCCGGCATCCAACGGTGTTAATGTCTAACTTCAACCAATCCACGAAGTTGCGCCACCATATACCAT